TTCCCTTTTATACAGTTGCTAGGCAGCAACTTGCAATACTCCTTGTGTTTTACCAAACCTGGACTCATTCTTGAAGCTTCAAGGACCAACAAAGCCTTCAGTACACTATTTAGCCACTGCTTGCTTGACTCTGAACCTCTAGGCAGTAATTGATGGTAGGGTAACTACCTAGAGTCTCTTAAATATTTGCAAATCAAATTGAAGAAGGAAGAAACATTTCTTACTGGGTACACCTCTTTATTTTTAACATTTTTAACATGTACATTAGCAGCCTTTTCCCTTAGTGGCTTTCAAATACAAACCTATAACTGAGAAGGATTGAAATGGCAGAGAGTAAACTCTGCCTTATAGGTCATCTACCACCTAGTGTTACATTGTAAATATAGACAATGGGTATTGCAGAATATCTGCTGCTTTTAGTGTATATTTTTGTTATTTCTTAGTAAAACTGATAAATACGGAATCATTAAAGGTTTTAGTTCTCAGTTTCTTAAATTTGTCTATACCATTTTGTACTATATTAAAAAAAAAAAAATGTAATTAAACAAGCAGCAGTTACTATCCAGGAAAGAAATGCTTAAGTTTTATTAGAAAATCCTGTTTAGTTATAAGAGACCCTTTGGAGGAGGAAGTAAATATGGTTAACTTCTCCTATCGCCCTGCCTTTCTATGAGGAACTGATTTTACAAACTAGACTTCTAGAAAGAAAGTGACAGATTACGAGGAAATAGCTGTTCGTCTGAAGAAGTTTAGAAGATATCAATACTATTCAAAAAATGGAAATCTAGGAAGACTTGTTTCCCTGGAATTATCATAAAATTATCCTCCATAGCCTTTATAGCTAGAACATGTATAGATTTGGTAACTGTGCTGACACAAAACAGTAGTTATAATCTAAGGGGATTCTTACATAACATATACCAGTATGTATATGATACTTGCACAAACATATTTAACGTTGGAGTTTTGACAAGAGGCAAGACTAGTTAGTACTCCATTGCTCCAGGTAAAGTGCTCAAATACATAAGTTAGTGTTAGTCCTTCTTTGTTCTGTTTGACTGCCGTGGAACAGAGCAAGGGGAGTGCTTTTGATTTATGTTAAAAATATGCAAACAGAAGCTGAAAGCATTATATTGCATATTTTGCATACTATTTCTTGATGATATTGGTAACTATATTAATGTGATATGCCCTGCTTTACACGTGATTTCATACAGTGTTGTTTTTGTCTTAGACCAATCAACCATGGGATACCCCCATTACACCCACAGTAAGCTGCTTCCTCCTTGCTAGCAATGCCACAAAGCAGTAACTGTAGGGAAGCCAAGGCTGTTTGACTGAAAACAGCCAGGAAAGCAAGGGCCCAAAAATAGTCAAAGGGGGCTGTTAGCCACTAGAAAACTGATAAAAGGGTAGAAAGAAGTTTGCTGTGTAAGCTGCTTATTCCAAGACAATTCACCTTTGTGCTTGGTAGGTCCTCTGAGCATCAGTTCTATCCACTGTTTAAGTAAATGGTTATATTTTTTTTAAAGCACATTATATATTTGCTTTTAGTTCTGTAGAAAGAACAGAAAATATAATGTGCTATTAGGAAGAACAACTCCACTTTTAGAAACCTTTTATTGATTTGCACTACAAAAACTCTCTCTTGCCATAGTAAAACAAAGTAAAACTTTGAGAATTTTTGAAAAAAAAAGTAGAGCCAAGAAGAAAATTCTGATACTACTAAAAACACTGGAAGATATAAGATCTATGGAAATATACTGAAGAAACTAAAATAAGAATAAATTGGAAGTGATGGAAATAAAGAAAAAAAAGTAAATTGACCACAAACTGTAGTATGATAAAAGAAATGAGGGAGATGCAAAAAACAAAGATAAAAAAACACTTCAGGATCAAAGGATATAAGAAAGTTCCCCAGGTTGGAGCAGGGGAAAGGGTGAGGAGGAAGGAGAGGCAGACAGCAGGAGGTAGAGGAGTCAGGAATGAAGGGGTGAAGGTGAACCTGGGAAGAAGGGGGGATGGAGGGAAAGTGTTCTAGTTCTTTTGCCTTTGTTTCTCACCATCCTACCCTATTTTTAACTGTCAGTAAATTAAATTAGTTTTCCCCAAGCTGAGTTTGTTCCACCAGTGATGGTAATTGTTAAGTGATCTCTGTCTTTATTTCAACCCATTTTCTTTTTCATCTTGTTTTCTCCTCCTGTCCTGTTGAGGTGGGAGGGGGTGGCTGGGTGAGCACCTGGCTGCTGTCCAAGGTAGATTCATGCCTTCTGTTCTTTTGGCAGGTCATTTATAAAGGGAGACCATTACTATAGGGAAAGCGAATACGTAGAAAAAATACACTCAGCTTCCATGTAAAATCTCTCTAAAGCAGGACTGACTTCTTTCTACACTGATTCCTACCTCTTACATTATAGCATCTTCAGAGGCTGGCTGCTGAACTGCCAGATGCGTGGCAGCTGGGAGCTGACAAAACTAGGGGAATCCACCTGCCCAGATGCCCAGCTCCTGGCTCTTCTCACTTGGGTACAGAGGACAGTTGAACTTCTTTGTGTACAGGGCTGCAGCAGTCTGAGCATTTCACTCCATTCTTCTCCTCGGCTCCAACTGAGTCTGCCTTGTATAGCTCACATGGATGCCTCTGTTCCCTCTATGCCATTATCACCAAGACTGTCCTCATTTTTGGAGGGGTTGAAATAACAACCAGCATCAAAATGGCATTACATCACAGGTACTACTGCTCTGTTTTTGAAACAGTGTATTCCCATTGTTTGGAAGGTCATGGTATGACCTGACATCATCACTAACAGCAAGCAGAAAAAAAATCACAGGCCCTTTGAGTCACTCAGACTCCCAAAAATCACATTTCATAAAAAATACTCCTCCTCTCTCTCTTGCTATATGCATGTATACACATATGTATGTCTATGTGTCTATAAACATACATATACATTGTGTGTCTATACATGAGTATACACATGTGTATATATCTATTTTATATACTCTTCTATATAAATAAAAAAATTGAAATTTTAAGGGAAAATAAAGAAACTAGAAAACTATAATATTCATTAAAATGTTTGTCAGTAGGAGATAGGAAATATTTAAATGAATACCACAGAGTTTGTGACTGATGAAGTATGGTAATAGTTTCAGTGATATAATGGAATATTTAAATTTGACCATGGATCAAACGCAATCATGAAAACCTGAAAGGAAAGAAAAATAGCATAAATGTGGGAGGAACCAAAATTAGAGAACCATGTTCACTCTGGATTGATTAGATTCAATCTCTCAGGACAAACTGAATTCCAGGATAACAAGTCTCATTTGTGATCTACCAGTAAGCAAGAAGAATAGAATTATATTCCAATAGATCATTCATGTTATCCTGCATTGCATTTTTTTCTCTTCCTTTAAATTGTTTTCTTTAAACAATCATTTACAACTCAGATTTTTTTTAAAAAAAAAAGTTTATAGCCCTTCTAGTAAACTTGGCATTTTTTTCTGATAAAGGAGACACCACTGAGATCTCTAACAAAGTAAATAAATATTTATGGATACATACACTTATTTAGCTTTTCATTTATTAGTTGTGAGTGATTAGTGTGGATTTTTTCAACTTTTTAACTGTCAGCCTCTTCTGAATGTAAACAGAAAACTAGTATAATGCAGAAATAACTTTTATATTTACTTTTAAATTATACTGACCTCAATATTCTAGATAGCTTAGAAAATTAGTGTTCCTCAAAATACATTTACATGAAAATATTACTGTTCTGTTAAGCATTTCCTGTATCCTCTATAGTCAGTAACCTGGATGGACAGATTTTAAAACTGTAAAAGAGTAAGATTTGTGGATTAATGCATTTAGATTTTGTCTTTACACAGAATTTTTTTTTTTTTTAAACTGGAAGAGGAAAATTCAGTGCTCTACTTTTCCAATTCTTAGCCCATATCGCATACTGAAAGTCATTAAAATAGTATTTTAGCATTTATAGAAGACACTCCAGCTCTCAGTAATTCTAGATGTTTAGCCAGTGATTTCTGTTTATCTAACAGCTTGAATTATAACACTCAGAGCAGTCAAATGCCCTTGCTCAGTATCCTTAGGTATTTTGTGCACTATAAATTTGGGCTTTAACTTCTGTTCTAGTTTCCAACTCACATTACTTTAGAAAGAAGAATGGCAACCTGAATGTGAAATTTGTAATACAACCTGAATGCCATACCTGTAGGACTCAAACAGTTAAGACAAGCTGGCACTTCTCCCACCTTCTATTCAAAGGTGCTAAAATGATTGCACTGAGGTAGTACTGCTACCATTTTAAAGGATTTATTATTGGCTGACTGTGCTCTGGGACATGCTGTGCTGTAATAAGAAAAAAATTTTTTAACAGTTCTAATAAGCAGCTGCCTATTAGGAACTAGATATTAAGCAGTGCAGTCGTTTCACTTAAATTGAAGTACACATTCTGTAGCCTCTAAGAGGCAGAACAAAATACTACGTTACCAGCTCAAAAAATGTATGGTTTATATTTTCTTTTCAGAAGTTTCTGGTTAAATAATAAAATATAAGTTTAAAAATCACTGGAAAAAAAAGTATGACAGAGGTAGATGTCTTTAATCACCATCAGCATGGATTGAAATATATATGAATTTTGCTATTTGAGAGATACTGAAAATAGATCAAACTTTTTAGTAGTTATGTATATCATTTTACTTTGTGAAGATAATGGCAAAACTAATTATGACCATATCTAGTCAGGATTTAACAGTAGCACAATGTGAGGTAAAGAAAAGTGGTAATCCACACAGAGATGCTGTTGTGATATATTGATATTTAACTCTAAGCCTCACCTGCAGAGCTACTTTGCTTTCATTTCTAACATTTCAAAAGCTATTCTGGACATAATTTCTCCCAAGCAACAGGCAAGAATGATCTGCAGTTGAGTGTCATAGCAAAAATGAATAGTGGAAAGGGTTTATCAAAGGCATACCTGTCCAGCTCTTGCATTTTCACAGACAAAAGTATCGTAGAATACAGCAAACTGTGGGGCATTGTCATTAACATCCAAAATTCTTACAAAGACAGGAACACGAGTAGTATCTTTGGGGTTGTCTGACAGGAGAAGAGAGAAGAAAAATTAGTTTATTTCCCTACTAAAAGTTTTCTGTTTTCTTACAAATTTAATGAGTAATAAAAATGCAAGATTAGGTATGAAATTTAGCATACAAACTGATACCAAATAAGGCCTCCTGAAAAATAAGCAGATGTTTTGCTTAGAGTAAAAAGTAAAGTACTGGTATATAGTGAACAATTAAGATTTTACCTTAAAATAGGGAGTGCAACTTTTAACAATCTGTGCAAATATAGTATATGAAAAATACGTCCACTACTATAGTGACAAATTTCATTACTGGGTGGGCTCAAGAGTATTATTCTGCTGTAAGGTTTTGATTTTTAATTCTTCTGTTTTGTTTTACACAGAAAAGACATTATTGCCTTTGTGCATACATATTTTGAAAAATTTTCAAGCCTGACTTCCTCTTTTGTGCCTTAATAATTAGGGAGAAATTCCAACAAAGCCAATGGAAGTATCCCCCCCAAAATCTAGTAAAGAAATTACTAGAATCAGAATTATTTTGTTTAAATTGCCCTAAAAAATAGGAACGTAGATTTTCAGACCCGACGTAAAGAAACCTCTCCCTTGCCAATGGCCAAAACCCTAGTACTATTTAGTATTATGCCCCCTCATTAGTATAGGTTAATTTAGGAACACAAGAGTCCCTGTTCTCACTTGCTGATCTAGGTGTCATATCACAAATCTGAAATAATGCCTGGAAGCAAAAAAGTGCACCCATTTCTTGGAGTTATGCTAAATACTATATGATTTTGCAACTTTAGTGGAATAGGACAAATCACAATAGAGATTACTAAAAATTACAGAGACCTTTTTTTCTTTTTTTTTTTTTTTTTTTTTCATTACAAGGTGCTTCAAATAAAATAGTAAACATTTAGGAGAAGGTGGCATGAAGTTCACTTGTTGTTAGTAACACCTTTGCTGAAGAGTCCGATATGGATCTTTTTGACATCCCGAATTGTTTAAAATGGCAGGTTTAGGGCACTATTTTTCATAGTCTTTTGCAATTTGTACCAATTTTTGAAATATGTTCTATTTCTAACACTGTTTTACCATTGTATCATGCTTTACAGGTAATATTTTTAAAGATTTAAAGACTTAAATCTCCCCCTTCTTTTCCCAAAACTAACGTACCTCTTTGGAGACCAACTAGGTCCAGAATGTAAATTTCCTCAAAGTAGCCTGACAAGGAAATAAGTTTAGCACTATGATATAAACATCCAAGGATACTCATTTTTTTTCAACATATAAATATTTCTGGAAAGTATTTTTACAACATTGGACAGAACTGTGAAGGATTGTGAGCTCAGAACCACACATTGCATAGGGGAAAAAAAAAAAAAAAAAGGTAAAAAAAAAAAGTACAGCCATTGGGTGTGCTCAGTGCAACCATCCTGTTACTTTGTATTACAGAAATGGGAACAGGCAGGCTAAGAGTGGTTAAATAGCTGCACACGATGTTCCATTTAGTTCTCTGCAGTGTAATTCTTGCCAACCATGTTTCGCTGTTGATCAGCAATTTTTATATTTTTTTGACTGATATAGAATTAACCCTGAAAAAACAACGTATTTGAAAGCAAGTGATCCTCACTATCTGATTTCAAAGATGAGACCTTTGTCCCTTAGAAATTTTTCTGTCAGGCAATTAGAGTTAATTTCAGCAATGTAGCAGGTTTAGGAGCATGCCTGCTTTCCTCTTTGTACTTTTAACATACAAGTATCCACAAAGAGCTGATTTAAATAGTCCAAGAAATGCTACAGTTTAGGGATCAAATTGAACCTAACTTGTAAAATGTATTAATTCTAAGAGCTGTAGGTGTAGATACCACAGGAAAAGGCAATGAAAGTGTTTCTAAGGAAATTTAGAAAACAATAGAGACAAAACCATAATTACCATCCTGAACTCTGCTACTTTAACAGCAAAATCATGTCATTGTACTCAAAGAAAAGGAAGAAAAAGGAATTACTCCAGTGTTATTTAATTGGGTAACATTTCAGAAGTAACTTTGACATTAAAGGTCAGTGGTGGAAGTAGGTGAGGAAAAAAGCAATGAGGAAACAGCTGTTGTTATCCAGCCCCAATTTACTTTCCCAGAATATCTAATAGAAAGGGGTGGCGGGAAGGAAGGGAAGTTTTTTCTCAGGAAGTTACAGCTGTAACTTTGCAGGCTAAGGAAAACTGAAAGGAAAAGACCAAATTGGCTTACTGATCTCAGCTGCTATAACACTCAGATTGTGCCATTGTGATATCTCACGGTCAAGTGGCTTAGAAGTATAGATGGAGCCATTTCCAGAATAAATATTAAATATCCTGTCAAGGTCAGTGTGACGATCCAGAGAAAACCTAAATATGATAAAGAGAGAAAGTGTATTATCAAAATGATAGAGAATGGAAGAAGGCGTATGTTTCACAACAAGTCAGTATAACTTTTAGGTTCTGTATGTTACATTACAAAGCTTAGTCTTGAGAAGACATTAGTTTAGTTTCTACAAACATTCGTGAAAATTCTCAAGGTTAGTTGCATAGAATGAGGAGTAAAAATTTCAATAATTTCATAAATATGACACAATAGTGTAATATTTGATCATCTGAGCTTTTATAGACCTATGTGAGAATAATAAAAAATAAGTCAGAATTTCAATATAATAATTAAATAATCGTTTTAATTCTGAAAGGAAAATTGTCTTTGATTTAATGTTCCTTCAGACTGAGACTAACAGATAATTTATGAGCTTTTCAAAAGTATGATTATAAGCTTAGCTTCTGCACTTTAAGATATAGATACTAGAGGTTAAGTTAAAAAACTCTATAAACACAAGTTCACATGCTGAACTTTCACTTTCATTAATATACTGATGCTAAAAGACCTTCTGTGCTGTTATAGTTGCTATACTTCTCCAGACAAAACTTCTACTAGCGCAATATGACAGAATGTAAAACTAGAATCAGAAAATTGCTTTCTCATCCGTTATTTCTAATATTTAACACTGCCTTCAAAGTTAGATTGAACCTTTGATGTGGAATCAAATTTAAGATTTTGTGAAGTACAGATCATTTATCTAACTACCTGGCAGAATTGGGCCAATTTTTTAAAAAAAGTCTGCTAGTATGCTTGTACAGTGCAATAGAAACAATTGTTCATGTTTCTATGAACTTTTATGAATTATCAAAAAAGTTTTTGCTTAGAGTACTTAACTAAATTGAGACAAATTAAATAATGTCTATAACTTTTTGTGGGTTGTTTTCTCCTTCCACCACACACAATAACATAAATATATAAAACAAACAAAAGCCTGACAAACAAGCCAACACCAAAATTAATACAAAAACAAAACAAAAGGAAATTAGAACAGCCAAAAAAGACTTCTGAAAGTGCAGGAAAGATGTAGGAAAATTATTTTTTTTTACTACTAGCTAACTAAAATAACTGTTAGTTAGAATTAAACAAAAATCTGTTATTTTTCAGATAAATTGTATTTAAGACTATTTGGTTTATATGATAAGCATTTGATTTTACTTCATCCATGGAAGGAGTTTTAATGAGGAAAATAACTTATTTTGACAGCAGTCTAGCTAACAGTTTTTCAATAAGGAATCACTGGTTTAGCTAACCAGATCTACTCCACATTGTTTCATTAAAAATTCTATACCATTTAATAATAGCCATGAGATAAGCACATAGTTTTACCCCATCATATTGCTTTTAATGGCTTGAAAATGCTGCCAATATTATTATTTTCAGAAAATACCTCCATATTCATTGAACAGAAGTAGAAATTAGTACAACAGGAAGCTATTAGCACTCAATTTATGGGAAGCCTAACTTATATAGAACTTTAATAAACAGAAGCAAATATTTTAAAATAAACAGCTAAACAGAAAAAAAACCCCAACAAAACTGAATCAAGTCTACAACCTGAAGTTGTAATATTTTTAATAGCAATATTAAAGTATTATACCAGGTGCTCTAATTTCAAAATATGACAACTTTTAAAATGCTTTAGTTTAAATGTTAGGTGTTCAATTCTGGGGTAAACACATGCTACTTGGCATTTAATTTTGATCTTGTAAGAATTAAAAGTTTGTAAAAACTTATCCTAGGTAATTATTGTTTGAATTAATGTGCAAGATTGCTTTGGAATTGGAAGTTGAGGAACAGAGCAAATACTAAAGAGAATTAGGTCTACACTATGCAAAATATTTAAATGTTCTTGTCTTCAAGTAGAGAGATATAATGAAAGCTAAAAGAAATTCCTGTACTATGAAGAGCATTATCACATATATCTTTGACATTTTTCTTCAAGTCAATTAAATCTAGGTTCAATAGTTCCTTTCAATTTTTCAGAAATTTCTTTGCCCCTATTACTCCAGCCTCTTCTGCTTTATTTTCTATGAGAGAATGAAATAAACATCAGCAGGACATGGAAAAATTGTATAAAACAAAGTTTAAGTTGCTACTCTGTGTAAATTATAGTGATGAGGGAAATTCCTGTCACAGTTCTTCAATTCATCAAATTGTGCCAGAAACAAAATGAGCCAAAGCTACAAGTCTGTCCTTTTTCCAGTCACGATTAAGAAAATAGAACTCCTAAAACTGTCAGTTGTCTCATGCGATTAGAGTGGATAAAGATGCAATGCTAAGCCCTTTGTATGTTCTTATATTTTAGAGCCTTGGTGTTATCTCCTATTTTTTCTGTGCACATGAATCACCACATGAGAAAATTAGATTCAGTTTCATTTCCTAATCCAGTTTTACCACCTGGGCCTCATTAAGAAGTATGTGGCAATTGACTTCAAAGACAGAAAAGGTTGTTTTGCTGGAATGTAATTTTTGTGCTTTGTTCAGTATTTCAGACAACACACATCCAACTTGGACAACATTGTCTTACCTGTTTCTTAAAGCTTTTGCATTATAGAAAAACAAACAAAAAACCTCACACCAAAGTACAGCATACTGCATTCAGCTAGATGCAGTGTAGCATGCAGCATCTAGTAGTATAATGCATAGTAGAAAAGATTTTTAAAGATATTAATCTTTCAATGCCTAATTTCTTGGAGTATTTGGGCACACAGAAGGATAATTTTATCCTGTACGGCAATCACTCTGGCAAGCCTACAAAGCAGGAGGCATGAACCAAAGCAGGTGAGATCAGTGCTGTATATGCTTTCCAGGACTGCCCAGAGGAAGCACAAGAAAGCTCTGTACCCTTCCTGGGCTGTAGACTGGTTTGCCACTTTATCACAGTGTGAAGAAAGTAGTCCTGAAGAGCCTACTTGAAATCAATGTGTAGTTTTATAAGTTTTCTGAGATTTGAAGTGATAGAAAATATCTCCTGTGTCTCTCGTGTGCAAGTGAATGCCTGAGGTGTTCGGAGGCTTACGGATAGCATCATTCTCAATTCTGTCTGTCTCTGGAACACTAATAAGTAAAAGAAGAACATATTAGCAACTTCTTTCTGTTCACAATGTGTACATGAAAATTCATGTTTATTACTATTTATCATAATTTCTTTAGTAAATTATGTGTTTACAGAGACTGGAGTACTACCTTATCGGACTTGAGGCTGAGTCAGGATCCCGTGCCATTACTGTTCCTATTATTGTCCCCAACTCAATATCTTCATGCACCTCAAAAAGGTAAGAAGATCTGCTGAAGACAGGAGGTTCATCTACATCTTCTACAGAGATTTTAACAATAGTTGTATCTTTGAAAGGCCCAAGATAATAGAAGCGTGGATCCACATGGGTATTCTCAGCTTCTACTTTTAAGGTATAAAGTCTTCTTGTCTCATAGTCCATGGGCTAAAAATGAAGATGATGATAACATTTATTAAATTACATTAATTATTGACAAATGTTGACCTATGTATATAACGGAAACTAAAGAGGACTCAAACTTTGTCAGATTTTGACCTGTGTTGGGGGAACCCCAGTACACTTCAAATTTTCCACAGCATAGAGATCACTTTCTCTAATAAGAAGTTTACATTTTTTTTAGAGGAAGTTTCTCTTCCTAAATATTATTTGAATTATAATAGCACCGATGACGAAAAGATTTTCCATGCACATTTACCAATTGCTGTTTCACAAGAGTATGGATTTGAAACAAGCATATAAGCATTTAAAATACTTGAAATACAGACATTTCAGAATAAGGTACTTAATACTAGTATTTCTCAGGAAATACTATAAACTCTTGGATACTCAAAATGGCCTAAGTATACTTATTGTCGAACAAATGCAGCTGGCCTTAAATATCAAGAATATTTTAGGTTTATTTTAAGGAGAGTGTGTGTGTGTGTGTCAAAGTTCTCTATATCCAGAGAAACAGTAAGAGCTTAATCTTGTTCCTTTTCATTTAATTTAATGAACCTAACATCACAGATTATTTTTTTTTTTAAATAGATCTGACATTTTTGTCAGCAGTTCCTTTTTAAAATAGAAGGAGGAAAAGTTCAGTGTTATAATTAGAAATCATTTTGGATAGAAGAGAACCTCTATTCCTTCAAATTTTTCTAACTGTCATAGATGAAGAGTGTTAGCTAATTAATGATACTGAAGAAATGAGCAAGCTGAGAATTTACCTTTCTGACACAAATAAGACTTCATGAACTCCCCCAGAATCTCAGGGAGATATCAAACTGGTTGTTTTCATTCATCAAAATGGGTGGCAGAAGACCTGTTTTTTCTGCCTAACTGCTTTCAAATACAAATGGATGTTTATGAAAGATGCCAGAGTGACAGCCTAGAAATTTAAATATGCTATTTAAGAGCAGAAACATGCAGTCCAGTGAAAGAATGAGTTTCCCCACCACCCCAAACTTATTTTAAAAATGTAGTTGGAGCAGAAGGGAGAACATCTATTAATACAATTCAGAAAGGCAACACAGTGTTGCTGTTTAAGCTAGATGTGAGACTATTGGTGTGTCTATAAAGTGCAGCATGCTGCTGTTAAAGGATGCTGGATTCAAGACTAGAAGCAAGGAAGCCATGTTAGTCCTGATTTATTCTAATTAGCTGGCTTAATTTGCCAGAAGGTGCACCATGCAGATGTGGTTAACTTGCTACTAATACACTCACATCCAGTTTGGACATCTCTTCAGGCTATGATGTAAACACTGGATTTAAAATGTGTGGGTTATACAGGTATTCCAACATATCACCAGTTATGAACATAACTGTTGCCCAAATATATGACATTGTGGCAAAGCAATAATTTTCTCTGTGAGAACTTGTATAGAAAGACTTGTATATAAAAAGTTATTTTACAGCAGAAGTTAGATTCAGACATAGTAGCTTAAGGACTCAGTAAAGGAACGTCAGCTGTTTCTAGTTATTCACCATGCAAAACAGAAATGTCAATCAATGTGGCCAAATAAGCCATCCCAAGGGAACCTGACAGGCTTGAGAGATGGGCCTGTGCAGACCTCATGAAGTTCGACAAGGCCAATATTCACAGAATCATAGAACCCTCCTATGTTACTATGAATAAAAATATAAAGAATATTTTCATAAACGAACAAACTGAGCATATCTTCTTCCTTGCTCATTGCTGCTGTCTGTGCTCTCTGAATAAGCTATGTATTAATCAATATGAGAATGCATCCTGAAAATTGCAACTGTGTCAGATTGCTAATGACAAAATGATAAGACCTTGTTCATTAGCATTTATTGGTGACATTTTTGGAGCTGCTATGTTATCATTTTTTTATGGTTGATCCAGTTATTAGACTGTTTTTTCAAGTCTGTATTGATTTAATAGAATAAAGTCTGTGTGAAAAATCTGAAGCAAGAAAGAAGGGAGCATCTCAAGAGAAGCCTTTGCAAACTTCTAGGAAAAGGAAAAATATTTGACCCCAAACTTTGTATTTTCATTCCTTCCCAGATAAACTACAATGCTGACTATGAACACAGAACCTACAGATTAAAAATGAACACACTCTGATCTTTGCAAAACTTGCCTTTTCTTTGGTTGCTATGGGATGGGTTTACCCTTGGCTGGAGGCCAACCCCACACACCTGTTCACTCACCTTAGCCCCTCCCGAGGATGGGGGAAAGAATTACAGGGATAAAGGGAAAAAGGACTCGCGGGTTGAGAGAAAAACAATTTAATAACTAAACTAAAATAATATTGAGTATAAAAGTATATACAAATATACAAATGGGTGATACACAGTGATCCTGCCCCCCCCCCCCCCCCTACCCCAGCCCACACCCGTTC